TCTCTCTCTCTCTCTCTCTCTCTCTCTCTCTCTCTCTCTCTCTCTCTCTCTCTCTCTCTCTCTCTCTCTCTCTCTCTCTCTCTCTCTCTCTCTCTCTCTCTCTCTCTCTCTCTCTCTCTCTCTCTCTCTCTCTCTCTCTCTCTCTCTCTCTCTCTCTAGAAGAGAGAGAGGCTCTCTCTCTCTCTCTCTCTCTCTCTCTCTCTCTCTCCCTCCCTCCTCCCCCTCTCTCTCTCTCTCTCTCTCGCTCTGTATCTGTCTCTCTCGCTTTCTCTCCTCTGTCTTTATCGCTCTCTCTCTCCCTTCCTCCTCTGCTCTTTTTTGCTCATACGTGTATTGTTTATGTCGTCAGTATTTACACGTATAATAGGCAGGTGCGTACATGCGCGTGCAGGGGCGAACCCAGGGGAGGTGCCAGGAAACCATTTTCTAGCTAAAAACGGGGGTTTTCCAGTATGTGCCTAAAAATCTCACCAACTGAAATAGAAGAATCCGTTATAGAATATGAAGTATTGTAAAATAGAAAATTCATACTAAATATCTATTGAATCGCAACCGTATTCTTGCATCTGCCCCTGCTTCTTAATTCGTATGTACTGACTCTACTAGATTGCCACATAGCTGGCATAAGAAATATCACATGGTTGCTCGCCGTAAAAGGTCATTGATAAAATCAGCCAACTAAAGATGAATCGTTGAATATAAATTTATTGATGAAAAAGCTGCATCAAGGCACCTACGCATGAGTGAGGCTAAAATTTTAGTCTTCGCATAGTTATCAGGGTTATTGTAAGCCATATCTCATCCATTTATACACTTGTCTGACGTGACCTTGCTGAGGCTTCAATATCATATAACTTTTTGTCTGAAATACCTGACACTCAAAGACGTTAATGTAGTCATAGACATTGTATCTTGATTGTATGCATGACAGATAAACCGCTACATGCTAAACACAACAAGCGTGCACAGAACAAGTTGCAAGTTATCATAGACCTGACAAGAGTTACATGATAAACACAGTGATACGATTTAGAACGTGTAATGATTATTCTATCTGTTGACATCACACTGCACACGTAATACCGGGAACTAACACAAGCAACTACAGAAAACCAACCACACCTCAACTGGTGTTACATTTTGTTAACGTTATGCTGCGAACCTCATAGCCACAACAGTAAAAATGTCACAAAGGAGTAAATAAAAAGGTCAAGCCAAGTCGCCGGACGTACATCACTATAACACCAACTCAATTACTGACTTATTATGTATATGGAACCCCGTCAGAATGCGATAATTGGGATCCGAAAATTCGACAGCGTAAAATTCGTTATAGTCGGGTAGTTTTCTTGATAACTTAAAATTTTAATTGATTCTAAACAGATTAATTTTCATGATAACGTCAGGTATACTAGTCTCGCTTGTAACTAATAAAGGAATCAAACGAATGCGATTACATATAATCTATGTACAGTGACAATCAAAAGGTCGCAGAAACTTGCAAAATGATATCGAAAAGTGTGAACAGCTATACAAATACACTGTACAATGGTTACCTTAACACTAATGTACGTTACTGTCCTCAAGTGAGATCGCCCATGTTCAAACATGGTTGCATACTTACAGCCAAATTTCCCTTCATCACTACAAGCAGGACATACAGCGCTTTCAAGGTGGTGAGGCAAATATACTACAAACTATAACGCGTGCACAAGATGAAATACGAGACATACACTAGATAAACACACTGTTAATATAATTATGGAATAATCATAATAGGTGTATGACTAATAAAATAGTAATGATCCAATAATCTGGTGACAAATCTGGTTTAATTACTATAGGTATACTGACGGTACGTCTATATAGGAATTTTTCTAATACTGAAAACGGGCATTCCGTTCTGATTTTAATTATTTTTATCACACACGTACGCACGCATACGCATTTTTATGTCGCATCAACAAATTAGTTTTCGACTTTAATTTGCGTCCCAGTAAACGTAAAAATACATACGACAATAGAAAAATACCTTTCAAAATATACTGATTTGATATATTCATCATATTCATTTGTAAGCCCGGGAGTGATTACAAACCAGAAATAGTAGAAACAGATAAACTAGATGTAATTTACCTATTTTTGGTAATGGAGATTATAGACATTTCATCCATCAGGTTTCCAAGAGCATGAGCAAATCTATATATGCGTAATAATATGTTCAGTTTACATCATATAAAGCGAATTTCAAACTAGAACTTAGTTAAATATGAGCTTTGCAACATGCTAGTCAATGTTTCATATCATAGATTACAAAGCATCGCACGCCAACTGTGTTATTGCCATCACTGCAATCAAACGACTCAACCTTTAATTTAAAAAAAGGTTAAATTTACCGGTTTAATAGAAACAAGCCAAACCATTGCAAGAAAAGAAGAAAAACCACGGACTCGTTTCGCTAAAGTAAAAAATATAGTGGGGACGCAAGGGACTTCATATAAATTATTCGTGAAACAGCTCAATAGCAGTTGTATAGAGACATGGAAACTAAAAATATGTCAGCGATACTACATGGGTCGTTTCATTATGAAATGTCTATATATGGTATTATAAACCTTATTTCATCTTACATCCTATATATGATGGCCACATAGACATGAACGCACCGGACTGCTCTATATACTTTACATCTTCATATATTGCTATCTGCAGACAGCACCGCTTCTTGAAATTCAACACGAAAACATCTCCGTTTTTCGATATAAACGTGACAATTAATACTCCAACACCTTGCAATACACGCAAAAAAACGCAAACACGTAATTGCTAGCTTACACTGTTTGGGACAAACCTCTGGATGAGATGCACGTATAATCTAAAGTATGACGTAAACTTTAGCAGCGGTAAAGTCCTAATGATGAATATCCACCCTACGCGCCCTAGCTACTATACCGCAGTATATATCCTAGCAAGATTAAAGCCGCACAATGCGCATCCAAACGCTAATTTCTCCAGTACTAGACTAGCAAATACTTCGTGTCATGCATAATCATACTACCTTATGGCAAAATAAACTCTAGTTCCTCCCATTTCACTGCGCGTTGTCTTATAAAAGGTATTTTGAAAATACCTCCAATGTTGTTGAAATTCTTCGATGTTGTGTACAGTTTCCCCAATCTCCAAGCAACCGTGCAGCGGTGCCGCGGTACAGCGGTACGGGCGCAGCAAAGATAAAAACATGTGACGTCACGTCACCACTTCGATGTTATGTTGTTTGAAACAATTTAGCGTTGGCGCCTGATTACCTGATTTCGCACCTCTTTCTTGTTGGGAACGCGCAGTCAAATGGGAGGAACTAGAGTTTATTTTGTCATAAGGTAGTGTGATTATGCATGACACGAAGTATTTGCTAGTCTAGTACTGGAGAAATTAGCGTTTGGATGCGCATTGTGCGGCTTTAACTGACCAAAATCTATACACACAACACGCTCGCCACCACAAAATTGTACTTCATTTTGAATATTGAACAGCATTTCAATAATAGCTTCGATGAGTATGGACACAAATATCTAACTGATAGTACACAGATCATTTACGTATCAAGCGGTTATTGATTAAGCCAATTTATTCATCAATAAATCTATTACCGGAATTTGTCGAATCTGATTTAAACCATTTCTACGCTACACCTAGTTCCCGTAAAAACTAGCTATTTAAACTAGAAAACATATATCCTAACGAAACAACTAACGTACACAATACCAGGTTTTTCTCACCGTATTCTTGAGTTACCGGGATCAGAACTTCTTGGTCTTACATTAAACAATACTTTAACAAAAAACAATGTTAGACGTTATAGTATAGTTTTTGTTGCTACGAGAAAACTCTAGAGTCTTACTATAATATGGATCTAGTTTAAATATATGTATATACTCCTCGCACATATAATCTCCCATGAGGAAAAGAGAAGTATTAATTTAAACACTGCCAATGGTAGGACATAACGATACCCCTCCCGCCCTCGTAATGGGAAACACTGCGAGAATATAAGACGCAGACATGCCAACGTCTGGCGTCTGGTGTTCAGCACCATTACCTTACTGCCCATCACTATTATCAAAGGTATAGGGGGTACACTTAGTGGAATCTGGCTTAGTAAGTGACGCCAGCTTGCTAGCTGTGGGCACCTGCAGCGTATGCTTACCAACCCTAAGGTGCACACAGTCAGTAAGGAATTATAGGTAACGATCAACATCAATAGTCTCATATCCATATTAAAATCCGACACTATCTATGCCACTTATACGTTAGTGCACTAATGCAAGTGACAATACACCACTCTTACTTCCCGAGGCAGTCAATATAAAAATTGCTACCAAAACCACTTAGGAAAGGTAAATACGGGTAAGAGTAATCATTCGCAAAATCGAGACTTTATAATTACGTACCGGTACCTTAACAATCACTGCCATTTTATGTTTAAAAAATGTCATCCTACTAAGCCTCTAATAAAGTATATTTACATTCACTGGGTACTACGCCCACAAACGTTTAGTGACCTCTGATGGGAGAGATGTTGTGGTAATTAAAGCATTCGGTGGGAGGGATCATCTGAGATCTGTTATAGAGCATGAGCTTATCGCTGAATCTATGAAGACAAAAATATGGGCCATGCGCACGCACGCACGCACGCACGCACACCTGCACGCACGCATGCACACACGATTTATGTTACACAATCAAGCTCTGACAAGAAATATAGCAGGGTTGGTTAATTCTGAGCAGCGTTCTCTTATATAGTGGAATAATGGTCACCAGATTTCATATGATCGTATAAAACAATTTAATTTCGACCGATTCAATTTTAATGCAGATCTATAGAAAATATTGACCATAGTGATAGTTGTCAAAAATGTCCTTCCAGTAAATATTTTCGTCTACTTAGTCAAGGTATCTATCTGTAGACGTAGACTCATTTACTTTGTAATAACCTGATAATGCTTAAAATGCTCAACATTATTATGACAGTCGACACATTACTAATTGGCCTTGAACTTGACAACATAAATTGTGTGGGTAGACGTGATATTGAATGAAACCTCCTATCCACACTAACCTAAAGCCACAGACCATACCACTGAACCTTTCTCATTACGTTTACTCCAACAATTTCAGACGACGGACTCCGATCAAAGTTGAACGGATACACTCGATCACCATCGATAGCTATACTCATGATTGAGCTGGCTGTGGTCACGTGCACGTGCTATTATATACATACTAGTATATCGTACGTTACAACGGCACATATAATATATAATATGATACAACGTTCTATTCAAAGCAGGTGGGCTTCAAAACTGCATACAAGGGCCAATTATGCTCAAACATCAAAACAATGCTGTCTAGACTCTGATATTATAATGGATATCTTAATAACATCAAGTATACATCAGCTTTTGCAGCAAACTGTGGGCAAAAAAGTAATGTTAATAAAGCTACATTCAAACTCTACTTAAAACCTAAATTATGGTAGTGGTGACTTTGCAGGGTAGGCCTATATAAATACATGTACTTACGTGTACAAAATTTCACCTCAACTATTGAAAAACTTAACAAATAAAAAATATTACCATTTTATACAAAACTCTAAAAATTTAGATATTGATCAACTTACACAAACAATTGCATAAATTTGGTAAACATCAAATTCAAAAATAACAAAATAATAAGACCTCCTTCAAATGAAGGATACACACAATTCTTCACCCTATAACCTAACCATTACGATGTATCAAGATGTATAAATCTAGTGCTCCTAGCCACACTTACGTTTAAAACCTACTGAATCCAATTATATAAAAATGACCCTATGACCTAATATCAATGTAATACAGCAGAAACTTGACATTTACATTAAATGATGCCTAATATTTCGAAAAATCAGAGACCATGTCCAAATTATCTCAAATGTGCATAAACATAGATTGGCAATTATCTATATGAAGACGGTCTGGGTAATTTATTATATTTTCTTGGGAGAGAAACCTATTGTTAGCACGTAAATACAGTTGTAAACATAAGCATCAAATTATGTGTTGTATTCATATCAGAATCTGCATATATAATCTGTACATACTGGCGTTTTCTGTCCAGCAATAGTAATGCATAATTGCATTAATTCACACAAATGAAATAAAAGCCAAATCTTCATTGGCTCATACCAAAAAAACGACAAGGAGATTGAAATTAAAATTTCTGCACCATACAATATTATGGATCATGATCCATTCATGCCACAATACTACATGTAAACTGTGAGAGTTATGTAGGCACACTCCATCCTCAGTGAGCAGTCTAAAAATTCAGAAACTAATCAACAACCTAATAATAAGATCCAATTCATGATTAGCAAATTTGATCTCTTTGGGTTAATTTCAGTGCCTCACACTACTACAGATTACATGAAATATTGAATACCACACAGAAGGTGGCGGTTTAGACTCAATTCTACACGGCATATTCCAAATAGACACAGATGTTTCCACCGTTTTATGCCTCATGTTGAAAGGTGGAATAAGGAGCAGCTGTAAATGTCTTCGTAAGAACTGTGTCACTATTCAATGCACCGGGGGTCTGTCAACCTATCTTGGGTTCGGTCAGCATACAATACCTCCACATCGTGGATGAAGGCGCCACAGTAGCATTCCTCGGTCTCGTACAACACCAAGCTGTCTCTCCGTGCACTTCTTTTCATGCCAGAAATCATGCATCCAAGTTCTGTTAAGATAGAATAAAAAAAATCTATGCACAAATTAACAAATCCTTACCACTTTCGACGCATTTGCAGGTGCCAGTCCATGTCTCTTCACCTCAGCTGAGAAGGTCTGTATGCCCCTTAGGAGTCTCAATATTTGTGCATTAGTATTATTTGATTTGTTGATTATTTATGAATAGATATGGCTGCACCTGCTAATGAGCCTTAGCTTTATTTTGTAATTCCCAATCACTGACTTCATTGTATCACGTTTTTTTTGTTTGTTTTTTGTTTTTGTTACTCATTAGAGGCTTAACCTCATGAGTCCGGGGAATCCGACCACCTGTAGTGGTCGCGAATCCACCGTTTGAATGTCAAACATTCTCGCTGTTTATTCAATTGGTTTCAAAAACTGATGGTTTCACTGACTTGATTGTGTCACGTTGGTCAGGTGTCTTAGTGGATGATTTTTTCCCCTTTGCTGAGGGCCTGTGAAAAGTTATTTAATGAAAGGAACCATGTTTGTTCCCAAGTAACCACAAGCATATAATTGTTATTTAATGTTGACCCCCCTAAACACTCACAGAAACCCTTGTTACAATCTTTCTGAGTCATGAACGTAACGATAAAATGACGATGATAACTTCATAATAATGTGACCATCACTCATCAATTTATCCTCCCAGAAATATAAAGTCGAGATAAATTCATTACATTTACTGAAGTGACAGGTTTGCAGGGGTAGAAATTAACTTTTAAACAAGGGAGTCCAACTTCCGCGAGGCCATGCTCTAGAACGAACTAGTTAGTATAGCAGAATTTTCAGGGAGTCACACTGACTCCTGCATATGTCAAATCAGAGAGTCCGACAGTAAATCAGAGAGTATTTGACTCCGGACTCGCGTTAATTTCGCACCCTGGGTTTGATAGCCAATCTATTGTCATAATACACCCCGTCAAATAAAAATATATCAGCTGTCGAAAGTGTCGCCTTAGTAATTACCTCCGCCAGGGGCTTGGCGGAGGTTATGTTTTCACCGGCGTGTGTTTGAGTGTTGGTTTGTGGGTTTGTGAACATGCACGTTTCAGTTCACTTCCGCTAGGTGCGCTGGCTGTAGACTTACAAACACGCAATCACAGGCTAAGGGGCAACCACAGTCCTCCCCCACCTGCACGCTCGCACTCAGCGAATATCTATCTATCAATCTATAGGTTTGTTTGTGTACACCCTAACTGAAAAAGTTATGGATGGATTGTCATAAAATTTTCAGGATAGGTCAGAAATGGGCTAACTTGGAATTGATGAGATTTTGGTGGTGATCCGGATCCAATTAATTAATTAATTAATTAATAACATTTTCAGGATAGGTCAGAAATGGGGTAACTTAGAATTGATTACATTTTGGTGGTGATCCGGATCCAATTAATTATTTAATTAATTAATAAAAAATTTTCACAGTGACAGAGCTGCCTTGGCGGAGGTCTGTGCTCTGCTCTAGTTACAGTTTATATTCAACATGAAATTAAACTGCTCCAAGGTGATTGCAGGAAGGACTTCCCGGAGAGGGGGAGGGGCAATACGCGCCCCTAAATGAGCAGCAGATAAGCAGGTGTCATACTCACAAGTGATGTCGATCGTTTGCGCTTCCAGCAGTCCGGATGCATCTTGCGATGCTCATCGGCGAGCAGCCTGGCTTCCTGTGTGAACAACCTTCTCTCTTCTATTCTCAGCTTCCGCCACTTATCGCCCAGCAGCACGCTGATGGCCCTGTGCAACAACGAGACATAACATCATATATTACGTAAGTAATATTATGTATCTTCCGGGGGCAGATGGGGCTCCAGTCGATGACAAAGCCGTGATGAAGGCAACTCGCCTAGGAGAAGGATAACTCCGAAATTAAACATGGGTAGTTGGAACTCGTAAGCCTAGATGGTAGTCCAGTTAGTGATGGTGTCACGATGAAAATACCCGGCCTGGACCACGGCGAACCTGGACTAGTACAGCCCTGTAAGGAACAAAATGTTCCCGACTCATGGAAGCAGCATCATGCCCACCTTGGTCGACGAAAATAAAAATAAAATAAATAATATTATGTAACATGTATAATGACTATACCTTATTACACTGTAGCGAGACGACGCAACTGGTGCAAAAAGGATGTAAACAGTATACAGTCCAACCTGTATACAACAGCCACACATAAAAAGGTGGTTTTTACAGAGAGGAGGCCTTTCTGCAGAAGCTGTTTCACTGCATAACTGTGACCCAAAGGAAACGCCAAAAGTGGCCGTCATGGACAGCAGCTGTTCTATAGAGGTGGTTGCTTTTTGCCTATTTACAAATGCTGGGAATCATATGCTTGGTATACCTGCAGGGGGTCAAAACAGAATGTGGAGTCAAATAGTCTAAAGGAGAATCAAACTTTAATTTTGATAGCCCATCTTGAAATCTAAAGCCATGATTTACTGCCTGTGAACGCTGAACATAAATTTAAACAAAATTGTGGTAGTTACTAGTATGCTGAGCGCTGCTACATTACAAGCGGCCACTGTCATCACACTGCGAAGAAATCAATAGCTTCATCACTGTCGATAATAACTTCGTCATACCTTTATGCGAGCTACACCATCTCTTAGTACTTGCAGTTCGTAACTTGATAGCCTGCAAGGCTAGCATACACTGAAGGTTGATAGGGCGAGGCAAAAGCTAGGTACCCTTGGGGCAGTGGGTTAGTACTAATTTTTACACATTGACCTATTGTTTCTACCTGGATGCTTCTGTGTATATTCGAGCCAGTATTGCATGGTAAACAGCATGAACTACATATAGAGGTACCGGGAACCCAGTAATGCTTACGTTGAGGCTGTGCTACTGTTAATAGTGCATCATGTGTTTGTGGGCGTACGTACCTGTTGTCTCTGCCTGGATGCTGCTGGGTGTACTCGAGCCGGTAACGCTTGGCGAAGAGCATGAACGCATTCATCGGTCGCTTGACGCGCGTCAGCGTCGGTTCGCTCTTGTGTCTCATGCGCGACTTGCTTGACGGCACCGGCTTCATCGGGGCAACCTCCAACAGGTCGCGCTTTTGCTGCACGAAACAAATGAGCGTGCGTTTAGACCAACACGTGCTCTTACATCAACACGTGCTCTTACATCAACACGTGCTCTTACATACAGTGACTATATCTCACCTTACGTGGTACCACAGGTTTTCTTTTGACAAAATATGTGTGATTACAATGAGGATTGTATGATTTGGTTTTAAAATTTATGGCAAGATTGATGCATTCGTTCTATTCGACGTAAACAATCATATAGATCATGTTTATGCATAGCGAAACCATAGCAGATATTCATGTGAGCACCAATGCTTAGATTATTTTAGAAAAAAGAGGATTAGCATTAGAGGGTGATAGTATGTAGTACTGTGATAACATGTAGCGAAAGAGATACTTACCCTGGCCATACTGCTGAGCATAAACACAGCCGTGGAATCCTCTGGAGTCAAGTCATAGCTGAAAATAAAATGCAGAGAATTGGAATATATTAATATACATCTAGTGTCATTTAACATCAGCTACACACATCAACTCAAATTTCCCCACGTTTGAGGAGCAATTTGTACGGATTTTTTACTACATAAACCAACAAAACCACTCAAAATCTGACAAATCCATACAGATTTGACCAAGTTCCTTGCAGAAAGTGTTGTATACCTAAAACCTACTACAAGATGTACCCGTGTCTAGAAAATATTTTTGTACAGATAAGCAGTATTGTATATTATATGGTCATTTACTAAAAATATACATGATGTATGAGGATGAAGATACATGTACAAAGGAAATGGGAAAAATAGTTGCCTGGGATAGAGACAATAAAGAAGTTCAGTAGTGTACTCATATTCTTATTATTATTAAATATTGTTATTATTATTATTCCCTACAGAGGGCAATACCCTACACATATACATACACACCGCATGAGTATCCATTATTGGTGTTTTCCATTTGTTTGAATTTTATGATAATTATGTATATGTGTGTAGGCCTGTGTGCGTGCGTATGTAGATTTGTTTCGCAAACTCTGCTGAATTGATTCCAGGCCAACTATAAAACAGTATTTATACAATATTCATTACGCTACACATACTTGCGTAAACATTCATATGCCTCTGTAGTGAAACTGGCCTCTGGATGGTTCGGAGGCAAGCAAACATCCCCCACCTCCATCTCTCTACAGGGGATGCCATAGTACTCCATCGTCAGTGCAGGGCAGAATGAGGACCAACCTGATGACAAGTAAAACAACAGCAACCTGTATGAAAACAACTTTGCCATTCACATGCTTGCAAAAACATTTTGCATGTAATATTCACTCAAAATCTTCAGTTCCCTTTTATTAATTTTTTTAACAGATATATGCAAGACATCTCAGGAACTTGTTATCAACAGTAATATACTACATAGACCACTCTTGTAACGAATTTTGTAGAACAGGCCATATCATAAGCACATAATACAGTTGGATTGTCTATCAAATGCAATCAATCCATTTAATAATTTTTTAACCAGTATTATTGAGTAACCAATCGTGAAATTGCTGTCTACAAACACTGATGATCATTTTATGGTGCATGAAGCTATGTAGCCATGTATACATATAACTGTCATTTTTGAAACAGCTTGCCTCTGACCAGCAAAATTTCGCAATGCTAAATCCAGGTTTTCCCACATTTTTAGCTCACCTTGACATCGTCAAGATGAGCTATTGCCATGGGGTGTCGTCTGTCGTACGTCCGTCCGTCCATCAACATTTGGCTACGGTCAACGATAACTCAGGAACCATTTGACCCACATGTTTCAAATTGCACATAGTTGTTACTCCTATGGGAGAGGTTTGAACGTCCTATTTTGGAGCACGCCAGTCGACCTACTTTCGAGCCACGTCCACTTTTTCGCAAAAATGGAAATGGCCATAAGTCAGTTAAGGTTCAACGGATTTTGCTCATTTCTGGTATGTGAATGAATAAGGACTGGCCCCAAAACATATCACACAGGTTTTGATTTTTTTTTTTAATTATGCAAATTAGGTAGATTTCGGCAATTCCCCTTTGCATTTCAGTGTCTGCCTACGGTCAACGATAACTCAAGAACTGTTTGACCCACATGTTTCAAATTGCATACAGTTGTTACTCCTATGGGAGAGGTTTGAACGTCCTATTTTGGTTTTTTAATTATGCAAATTAGGTAAATTTTGGCAATTTCACTATGCATTTCAGTGTCTGCCTATGGGTCAACGCCATCAGATTGTATGCCAACAGATCTGAAACATTTATTTTCGCATCCAAAATTACTCATATATCATAATTATCAAGAGTATATAATGGGAGATATGCTATATAATGGGAGTTCTCCCATATATACTCTTGCTTTATATATCCCCCCTCCCTCTTCTATCACACCCAAGGTGAGCTACAGTGTCATTGACACTTCCATTTTTCTTTACTTTTGACTCAAGTTTAGATTGTAGTTTACATTTCTCACAAAATTCAATTGATCATTGTTTTAATATCGTACATATGCCAAGGTTAACAAGAAGACCAAGTACAACAATCGAACACCAAGATTCACCATGAGTTCGCTTAACAAACATGCATCATACCCCTGTCCCGTACGAAGAAAGGATGGTCAAGCGGGCAGTTGGCAATGAGGCTAGGCTGACCAGGGGGATCTGGAGTGAATGTTAAATTCATCGCTGCATTGCTAGCCTGCGAAAGTCGCAACTCTTCCATTTGGACCAATCGCAGTCCTTCTGGTGCATAGCTGTAATACAACAGAATACATCAGAAGATTGGAATTTAAGAATTATAATAGGAATTATCTGTAGATATTTCGGACGAAAGATTCTATATCGATTCGATCATAACCGATATCAAAAATACAATTAAAAATTAAAGACATGTATAATGTAGGTTGATTAACGTTTACATGGAAGGCGAATGTTTTGTATTATTTAAAAAAATGTTTTACTCAGGCTATGATCTGCATACCATTCAATATGAATTGTGTTTGCTACCCATCAGCTCTCCCTAAACATGGCTTTTTGACAGAAAAAACATTCACAAAGATAACAAAATGTTATTTATCAATGTCGCATGTACCTTGGAGTTCTTCGTTGCAAAGGTACTTCTGCCTTAGCAGTTAGCGCCTCCATCCTCGCTAACAGCTCTGCTGGCTGCCAATGTTCTGCTCTTGGTCCTGACAAAAACTTTATCCTACAAGCTAAAAGAATAATATAACACGAGTCATGCAAAAATGCCACACGAAACGAAAATGCTGTGTAAAAAAAAAACAAGCCAGTTAGTACTCGTGGATCATGTATAATCCCCCAATTCCTCATCTCCTATCCCATCTAATCGTTCATGTGGCACAACGTAAAATAGGCCGACACAAACTAAATGTCGAAGATATGGTATTGTTTTTGTGGTTCATGTAAAATTATGCGATATAGCCTGATGGCATGTATGTCAACTTGAGAAGCATAAATGATTACTCTGCGTAGTGCAAATTCGCTATTTTTATGTTGTAATCATAAATAATTATTGGCGAGTGTAGAAGGTATATGATAGTTGGAATGTTAGTACAGAGAACACAGGTTTATTCACACACAGGCTTTTTTTTTATTTTGCTTTTATGCAAATTAAAATCCAACCCCATCTTATGCTTCCCCAGCCTCATAAGAAAGTGCATAAGTAATTTCGTGGCTATGGATTAAAAAAAATGGAAGCAGTTTGCAAAAAAAAATAAGTGGTTTGCAATCACTAGTAAATAAACAAACAAAAAAATAAACGCAACAATTCTAGCACAATCCCAAAAGATGTGCATATGCAAGTGCTAATACGATCAATTCACATACTCTGCATAAAGCACTGCCATACTGCAGTGGGCCATGTATGCGACCAGTTGTCAGATTTGCTGTTTGCAGACTTTATTGGTGACCCTAGGTTGGTTGATGAAGTAACCTGCGATGATGACGAAGCTGACGATAATGGCACGATAGTGTCACCATCTTCTGATTTCCTGCAAATACAACACCAACCGCATCACCACACAAGTGAGCACAAACACTGGGTCCAACCACGATTACTAATACATAACCAATGCCATGACTTTATTTATTTCTGTTAAACCATGAAATCTGATTCCCCGGAAATAATGTGATAATTAATTCATGCTAGTGTTCTCCTTTAATAGATTTAAGATTAACTAGTGCATTTACTTAACAATCTACCTTAGCTAACCTAAGCTACCCTATATGTTTGTGTGCGTGTGTGTTTTGCTTTCCAGATTAGTCTATTGAATGCATATCTACAGGGCTTACTGTTGCTGCATATAGGATTCTTGTTTACAGTAGAGACTGCAATTGGCCAGTAGGCCAGGTGGCGACACTGATCTAGAGCGAGGTGGTCGCGCATATGAGTGGATCATTGAGAGCTCATCAGCCATTGGGCTCCTGCGAAATAGAAGGGAACGGTGCAATCAAACGTCTGGCAGAGCAGATAACATAGAATAGAATCACCAAATTAAACTGATGTGTTATCATAGCTTGTGAAAATTGGAAATGACAGTAGTCACTGAAAGCATGTCATTTATTTTATATTATATATATATATATACATATATATATATATTATTAAAATAATATATTATACCAGAGTCGTGGCTTCATCATTAGAGGGCTCTGTGGACTTGTTGCGATAATTGCAAGTTCCGTGAGAAATCCAGCATCAGAAGAGCACTGATCCTGTATCCGAGTATAAGCAGTATTCTGTTCGCATTGATCTGGATCTCGCAGCTGTGGTATATCTCGCTTGGCTTTGCTCAGAGCTCCGCCGTGTTCTAGGTGCTCTGAAAACAAAGGTTAATTTAGGTTCGACGTTCTGATTCTAAATGCACAATGCACAAGCAGACTGCGCATGTAAGCTTCTCTCTTTTTTAGTCTATTTTTCTTTACAAATACATACTATATACTACTACATACATACTATAACAAACATATATATATATACATATTTAATACATATTATAATCTATTTTTCTGGTTTATTTCTGCACAAATACATACCTTGTGTGTCCTCCTCATCATCTTCTGGAGCTGAACTCTCCTCCTCACCGGATCCACTGAAAGCAGATGCGTCATCACATCGTGTCTTTTCCAAGTGATACTTCAGTCCATTTGAACTGCAAGCAAGGTTCACATCAATTTCAAATCTCATAATGGCTTAATCAAATGTTGAGCCAAATGACAATCTTTGCTCCTAGGGTATATAACACAGGGGGTTAACTGTTTTTCAATTTACGCTAGATATTTTCTGTTAGTCCCACAATTAAATGGTTATGGGTTGACTTGCTCCCAAGCAGCCAGTTAAGCACAAATTGTATATAAAGTTCTCAACAATTTACTTTTTAACATGGCTAGTCATTTAACAGAACAAATGCATGGTGCCTATCAATGAGACAACAAATTTTAGTAACAGTATTCCAGGGTGCGAAATTAACGGGAGTCCGGAGTCAAATACTCCCCGATTTACTGTCGGACTCTCTAACTTGACATATGCAGGAGTCCGTGTGACTCCCTGAAAATTCTGCTATACTAACTAGTTCGTTCCAGAGCACGGCCTAGCGGAATTACCGTATTTTTTCAGCAAATCTTTAATTTTAAACTTCAGACTACGGACTCCCTCATTTTGCTGCGGACTACCTCTTTTTGAGAGCAGCGAGTCCATTGGACTCCCTTGTTAATAGTGTTGTCAATCGGTTGTAATTTCGTAATCGATCATCGGTTGGACCCAAGTAACCGATGATCGGTTACAATCGGTTACTCAGGGTCTTGAATGCCTGCGTGTGCGTAACGTCGTGTGCATGTACGTGTGTGCATGTATGTGCTTGTTTAGCCCTGTTTACTGATTGTTTTGCACTGTTTACTACTGTGTGTATAATACATGTACTGATTCTCATCACTTTTCCAAGTTTTCCTTTTTTTTTTTCTTTTTCGATTAAATCGATTATGGATTTTGATAACCAAGCGCTTGGTTCGAGCCACTGTTCAACCGATGATCGAGTATAATCGATGATCGTGACATCACTACTTGTTAAAAAGTTAATTTCTACCCCTGGTACTCTGTAATGAACATGTTTACCTTTTAAAAGTTTTCTGACACTTGGAACAGCAGTATGGTCTATTATCACCAGATGTATGTGTCTTTAAATGATAGCGCAGGCCAGGTGAGCTGGTGAGAACTTTCTGGCACCCTTCCTCAGGGCAACGCAGCAGCTTGGATGGACTGGAGCCTCCATTTAGCTCCAGCAGTGATCGTGAGAATTCCTCCATACGCTCTGTTCTTACATGCGGACGTTTCTGAAAACATTTACAATTCCATGCAAATAATTATGAATAAAAATAAACACTTTAATCAAAATGGCTACATCCGTATCATTGAAATTTTGTTTTAAATGAATTGTATAAAAGAATTGCCTTTGCACGAAATAGCCCTTCACATTCACACATGCAATAATTTCAGGGCATGAAATTCAGATGTTTTTACACCGGCCCAGAGGGCTAGTAACAGCAGTTTTCTTTACCAGCCCTCACTATAATTTCCCAGCCCTCACAAATTTTAGTTTGCTGTTTGAACCAGAATGAACCTAAAATAATACTTGGAATGATAATTGAACAAATGTTTATAAGTCCTTAATTAAATTCTTTTAAAATAAATTTTCCTTAAATTTCATTCAAAGAATCACAACGAATTATAGTTACAAATAAAAATTTTGATACATGACTGATTTTAACCTTGATTTAAAAATGTTGTAGTGTGCAGCATTGCGTAGTAGCTGTTGAACAGACTATAAGTATAATACAGATCGTGAATGATGTCAGAAGTGTTTTTGTCAATGTCACGTTCACGCTTGCATTCTTGACTTCAAATTTGTAAAATGTTGATAAATCATGGCTAACACGGCTGAAACCACCGGCTCGGAGGGCCGGTGTTTTGCCAATGTTACTGGCCCTCCAAATAATTTGCCGGCATATGCCGCAGGGCTGGTGCTAATTTCGTGCCCTGAATTTGTCACTGCATGTGATAAACTGGAAATTAAATTTATGGTGGTGGTGTCAGACAAAGGTATTTCATAGCATAAGCTTAAGCTTTCTCATTCATCACGGATGCCACATAAATCACTGGGATTTGGGCTAGATTATGTATCTTTGCCTCGCATCTAGAAAATGTATGACAATCACTGTAAACAAGCACAGGCTCTTGGTACGTTTCAATAATAAGATGATGGTAAATAAACACAAAATGTATTTACTACCAAAGACTTAATGTTTCTCTACTCTCTTTCGCCTATTAAATTACTGATAATTTCCTGTAAATGCCGTTCAAATGCTCCTCTGCAACACACAAGTACACCGCACAGACGCCGCTGTGCACAAACAACAAAATTACAGAGCCAGTAGAAAAGTGTGACAGCAAAACTCCCACTCTGCCCAAATCTAAATGGGAGCAAGTACACGAGTAATGCAGGGGTCGAAATAAGCGATGGTCCGATGGTCCGGGGCCATCAAATAATCAGGAGGACCATCAGATTTTCAAAGTCAATGGTTCGACAGACCATTGAATATTTTGGTCCCATTTTACGGTAATTTTCTTTGAAGTTTCCACGTTCCAATATACTATTAAAGTGAATAAACAATTACTGTACGGTACCGTTTGATACATTCATTGTACAGCGAACGAGCTTGGCACTCGCCCGCTCGCCAATGTCGAGTGAAAATAATATCGGGCGAGTAAAAGCTAAATTAATGCGAACTCGCCCATGTTGGCGAGTAAAAATAATTGTCTCATAATGTATGCAGTTAATATATTAAATAATGTAAAACAGACTTTTAGGCAAGACTACTCAAATAAGAAAAGTTTCATCACGCATGGTCGGGTGCGCAGCACCTTTTTTCATCACTCGGTACCCAACGGTCATGCGCGCAACGCCATTTCCATCACTCGGTACGGGTACCCGACGGTCGTGCGCGCAATGCGATTTTCATCACTTGGTACCCGACGGTCGTGCGCGCAATGCCATTTTTCATCACTCGGTACACAACGGTCGGGTAAATAATACCTGGGGATTACCTTCCTTTAGTTATTTATTTCTGCTGTGATTGTCCGAAACGAAGCGAGCGTCGTGCGAATTTTGCGGTCACGCTTTCCCACCTGCTCTATAATTTTGTTGTTTGTGCACAGCTACCTGCGTGCAGTGAACTTGTTTGTTGCAGATGGGCATTTCATTTACACGGAATTTACAAATTACAGGAAATTATGACGTGAAATGCTGTGCCAGTCTGTGGTAGCCTAGGCCTACTGACGCTGAGAGGGTCTATGTCCCCCGGGGTACTGCCGGAACGTACCCTGGGTACGGTCCGGTATACCGGAACGTACCCTGGTACTATCTAATATGCCGAACCGTACCTCGCCTACTACACTAACGAGTCTAGGGAGTCGCCTACGCCTACTCCCTAACCCGAACCCGAACCCTAACCCTAACCCTAACCCTAACCCTAACCCTAATCCTAACCCTAACCATATCAAATAGTGACCAGGGTACGTTCCGGTATACCGGACCGTACCCAGGGTACGTTCCGGCAGTACCCTGGGGGACATAGACCCTATGAGCCCTACTGACGGGCCCTGGACACCAGTTTCTTCTCAATCAGCTGAATCTCAGTCCTGTGTCGCGTTCTCGATAACGTTTTTATTTTCATCGCACGTAGAGAATTTTCGTACTTCTATAAAATTTAGTGACTATTCTTCCGTCCGCTCACTGTGCCAGCCGACTAAACGCTACAACCAGATGAATGGTGACGAAGAAACTCGGCTCTGTGGGCCGGGCATTGCCAATGGAACAGAAGTCCATCCAAATCACAATGAAACATGCGACGCTACGTGATAAAATTTCATTATTTTACACTTACATAACCTAACTATTAAATCATCTTGATAAATTCACATGCATTTCCACTAAACACTGTGTGACAATTTAGATTTTGAGTGGAAAATGAACGTAAACAACTTACAACCACTGACGCCATACTTGCGCATATATGACCTCGAGCCGTGATTAGTGGAAACAAACTATGTAAAAATCGTTCATTGGTCGCCGAGCGAAATCTAGACACTCTATTGGCCAATTCGGTTACACACCTTCCTAGGTACCGAAATCCAGGGAGGAATTGTCCGTATCTTTTTTTTTATCATAATACAATGCATTTGCGTGTTCCATCGGCGCTATATTAATTTTTCCCCTCACCCCATGCATTTTAAAATGAGAACTGTTTAATTTTCTCGTTCTGCTTGCAGATTAGATTTGCAGGAAAAAAATATACATTCCACTTCCTTCTCCTCCTCTTCCCCCTCCACCTCGATCCTTCTCCTGCTATACTCCTCTTCTTCCGCTATACCTTCTCCTCCTCCCCCTCCTCCACCTTCTCCTTCTCATTATCATCCTCCTCCTTTTTCTTCTGCATCGTTTTCTTATTATTTTTGTTCTTATTCCTTTTTCTTCCCCCTAACTTTTCGTCTCATCTAGCTGTCTACCATTTCATCACCCATTCTTATTCCTTCCCTCTCCATGCTCGTCGAACTCCCTTAATTATTCTTTGTCTTCTTTTTCCTTCTTATATTTCGTCCTCTAGATTATAAAAGAAGTAGGTCCTACTTTATGCGCGGAAAAAGTTTTGAAGAACATTGTATAAAGAGTGTAATACTTAGAATACTATATATTACATAAATAAATATTAATATTAAATTATAGGTAATATATGCATACATCTCTTATACTTGCTACATGTAGCAGGAGCAAACGGCGACACAGGTAGAGCAACTGTGTATTGTAAATTAAAACTTTTCTGCAGTGTTGATCTATCAATGTGATCAACCTTGACTCTCGCCTTCTTCTGTACAGTCTGTTAGACTTTGAATTTCAATTTTGGGGTAGTGTTATAGTCGCATCAACTCGCGAAAACAATTAGCAGACGTAAGACTGAATTGATCGCATATATAATATAATACAAAATATCAATAGTTATATGTATATTAATTGCAATTATGCAGTAATGCAATTATATCTTAGAAAAACACTAAAGATAATCATTTAAACCTTCGAAGGTAAAAAACGGATCACCCAGGTATGGATAGCGTTTTCCCCCGACTCCTAATGTAATCCTCCTGCAGGGGGACTTGGCCCCTGGGCCCTGCACTCTCTAATATGCTGCTAATATATCTCTGCTAATATACATACTTAGGCGAGATATTAAGTGAAAAAGGAGGATATAAAGAAATGATAAAACAAAGAACAGATAAATGTCTATTTATGATGAGTGAAGTTATATATCTATGGCTAATAAACAAAACTTTGGAAGCTGTGCGATAGAAGCACGTGTTAAACTTTATGAATGCACTGTAGTGCAGTCACTACTAAATAATAGCGAAACTTGGATTAACCTGACTAAGGAAGAAATAAAAATGGTAGAGGATTTCCAAAATGAATGTTTAAGAAGGATACTCTAAGCGCACAGCAAGACACCACTAGAGGCACTAATAATAGAAAGTGGAATAATACCAATAAAAGATAGAATATGTTATAACAAGTTTATGCTATTGCAATACATTATTAAGTTAGAAAATGACAGATTAATGAAAAGAGTATTTTTAGAACAAACTAAAGACATTGGAAGTAATTGGGCAAATGAGGCTCTAGTAATCTTGAAGGAGTATGACATAAGTATGTTACTTATGGCTATCGGTTTACAACATAAGAGAGAATGAAAAAAGTGTTGAAAGGAGGCTATTTTAAAAACAGTAATTATGAGAGATACCATGAGGTCTGGTGAGAAAACAAAAATAAAAATGGTAAACATCGAAAGCTATATTTACTAAAGCCATACATCACAAAATTGCATGATGCATGCTTTGTGATTAAGTGTAAGACTTCCATGATAGACTTAAAAAGTTATTTAAAAAATAACCACAGTAATGATCGATATATGTGATTTGTGTGATGAAAGAAAAAAAGAGAATTTGGACTATTTATATTCATGTAAGGTATATGGAGGTTATAATAAAGGGGAACGAGTAGATGATTGGAAAAGTGATGACCCGAAAATACTAAAACCAGCACTAGAATATGTTAGAAAGGCATTATCAATTAGAGAAAGTAAAATAAATAATGCTAACTTGTAGACAGAATTTCCTTATCTACAGGACTTCCCTGCACATTCCAAAGGAGAATCAGTGCCTTGTGAAATATAAGAGAGAGACCCCAAGATACAAGATACTCTTGGCCGCCATCCTCGCCTTGGTTTATGGCCTCTCATACATGGACCACAACAACACGATGACAAGCACGGTTGTCTTGCTTTTTGTGTAAGTAATAAGAAAGCAAAATAAAATGAAATATTATCTCTGCAATGAATCTCGATATAAGGTAGACTAAGGTAGACAGAAATAATATAATAGTTTTACCCTGTACTAGGTGTCTCTATATATTTCTATGGAAGTATTGGTGAAAATCCATAAGTATTTGGAGAAAATTGGTGATTTCTATATCCGCAACTAATTTCTATATTCACTATCTCTCCCCTGAGACCTACTAGAAAATAATCCATAAAACTACCGATACTTTCCGATACTTGATAACAGCGCCACCGCCGTAAAATTTATGGCGCGTGCACTCAAATTTAGTGTGATTTTGTGCTGATAATTGATCGTTAGTAACAAATTGATCGTTACAACTACAAGGTAATACACATAGGTTAAATGTTAAAGGGTGCTATTAAAGCTGTAGTTTTAGAACTATGCCGTATAGTGCAAACTTGCTCACGTAAGACGCACGGGTAGCAAGGCTAGTCTTACTCTTCAGTCTCTTGTTTACTAAACAATTTATTTACGTAACATAATTTACGTTACATAGGCTTTAGCCTTTACTAATATTGAATAATAATACTAGTTACTACTAGTAAACTAGTAGTTCTAGGATTAATTTATATTACCGTTGTGGAGAAAATCATGTGTTTGGAAGAATCAAATGAGTTGCTGAAGCAGTGAAGGTATCAAACACTCACGTCAGTAAAATAGGGAAAGTTGTACGGACAGATTCCTTTCCCTGGCCACTCGCAGCTAGGGCCTGCATTATGCATACCTCCGGGCTCCCAAAGTGACCGACCAATCGGAGCGCTCGCAGCTCCTCCTAAAGTGACGCGTCGTCGACCGACCAATCGGAGCGCTCGCAGCTCAGACACTAAAATAGCTCTAGTAGTAGTACTATAGCCCGCTTACAGTGACTGCCGCAGGGCTATAGAACATTTTATGCTAGATTTCGCAACTGCACCTGTTACCAAAAGTTCCTACGAAACATGTGGTAACAGGTTGCCAGTTGCGAAATCTAGCATAAAATGTTCTATATATATATAGCCCTGCGGCAGTTAATGAACGCGGGCTATAGTACTAGAACTAGCACTAAAGCTGATGCGATGTTTTGTGGTTGCATTATTTAAGCTGGCCATCGTGAGTGGATGGTTACTGGTAAGGGTTAGGGTTAGGGTTTAGCTTTATATTTATCACTATCAGCTTTAGTGCCTGAGCTGCGAGTGCTCTGATTGGTCGGTCGACGACGCGTCACTTTGGGAGGTATGCAGGCCCTAGCTGCGAGTTCCCTGGCCTAGTACTAGTAGTTGGTCTAAAATCAGGCGTGATTGGTGACTGGGCAAGGTGAGCATGCAGGGCCGGGTTGCACAAACTTGGAATTCATAGGGTATCAACGGTTATATCATCAGAAAGAGTTTCTATATCTTCTTAATCAGTTTTCTTCAAAATGTTTGGCATCTTAAATCTTTGCTAAATATAAAATAATAAATGATTATATTAAATAATTTGATAACTATTAGAGAAATCCCTTCTTAGTTTGCACCAGTTGTGATCGCATACGCCACAATCACCATTAAGTGTAGTTGAATCCACTACTAGTTCCACTACTAGTTGTGTGGTGTGTGTGACTGTTTCCAGCATGCCCAATCTTGAGATTGGTCAGCCAAACTCGGAAATCCGCAGTTTGGGCAGCATGATCTTAAGATTGTGCAAATTCCAAGTTTGTTTATGACATTGTCACACTGAATTGATTTACTCCATATTATCTTATAAGCAAGTGTGAGGAGTGCATCTACATGTCGATTCGCTGAACTAATGACTGTTTAGCACAGGTATCATTGCAAATGGCGGTAATGTATATTTTTATTATTATTATAGCTTAATGTCCGGAGATGCACAGAATGTCGCTAATGGCCCGGAAGCGAGTGAAGACATCACGCATGCCATAGAAGATCTACGGATAGACATTGACAAGCAGAAAGCTCTCCTCCAACAGGTGTGCAGTTATAGTAAATCACACATCAGAAACTATGTAGCATACTTCATGTAAACTACAAAACATTAAGTATGTAGTGTAGACAATTATGCTGCATTTGACACGTGGATATTTTATCTACATAACCCTAGCTTTGGAGATGTGTATAGTATTTATTAATTACTGTTACATAATTAAAGGGATAGTAGACTCTAGGATTTTACTGCATACAACTGTACTTACTGTATAACAAATCGTCTATACCCACACGTATTTGTTACCAGATACCTAATTTGATTGTTATAATTAATTACACATCAACGCTACGAAATTTGAACGGCGCCATGACACCCGCGACCGTGCTGCCACCCTGAAAAAGTTGCGTATTTGCCAATTTATTTTGCACGTTACAGACCGAGGGCTAATCACAAAGGTGCAATTATATACATACCTAAATGCTATTTAACCGAACGATGTTTATTTTAGGACAAATTTATCCATAATATAACTGAAACTATATATCGTTTATAAGATATTACAATCATTTTGCTTTTAAATTAATAAATAAGAAACACCATCGGTCTGTAGCCCTTGGCTGGAAAGTGGTTTTGCGCAACTTATCAGATCCTGCGCTTTGAGTGGCGCCACCGTCGTTGTAATCAAACTGTAGTCGTTAGTTTTAAAACATTTTTTAATAATATTTTTAATAGTGATTGAACCATGGAACTTTTTATGTAGCATAATTTTAAACTAAATTAACTGAAAATAACCCTATAACCTAGAGTAAACTATCCCTTTAAATTCTGTGCTTATATAACCAACCCTTTGCTAGATGGGTCACTCCAGTGAAATTTCGAAACTGTGGCCTTTATAAGCAAGTGACCATTCTATCAAGGTGGCTTTGCTGTACAAGTGTTATTTATAGAAACGTCTGTGTTCTGTAGATGCGACTGCTAACACATGTTTTATTGTATTTACAGCTCCATTCCAATGTTGAGAAGAACTTTCAGTGCAGAGCTGCAGGATCCAGAGACAGTGATCCGTTGGTTGGGATTTACCAGGAGCAGGATGCCTGGTTACGAGGCATGATCGCTGCCGTTCAGCAGCGCGGGGACGAACGTGAGTGTGGCACCTTCACTTCTTGATCCTCGGCTGATTGAAACCTCATCCGAATTTTGAGTCACAGAATGCTTACACGAATTATTGTTATATGCCAATATTGAAAAGACGTAACGAACTAGAGAAATCACTGGACTAGGTGAAATGTCAACTACATGGATGGAAAATTGTAAATTTCCCGCTGGCTACTTCCCTAGAGACCAGCAAATTGACCGTTGCTAGTTTCTGTTGGGCTTGCCCCACAAGCATACCTCACAACTTTGGTAAGAGATGATACTTTTCTAGCTATTCGCCTATGGACACTAAGAAATGGTTCCTGTTGAGCTTACTTTACAACCATACTGCACCACTGTGGCATAAGGTCATATTGCATGAACATTTCCTTTGAAACGCACACAAAAGTTCCATTGCATTCATGATTCCCCCCAACCACATAGTCATATCTAAATTTGACTGTATTCTTTTATTAAAAAGTAAGGAGCTACCATCTTTTTTGAATTATTAGCAAATGCTTCTCTTCTGCTGAAACGACGTAAACATGCAATTCAATAGATTGAAGACTGCGGGTGACCTGACTTGAATTAGCTTGGATAGATGTTTTTCAAAATGCACAATCAAATTTTATAGAGTCGAAAAATTCCTACAGTATATCACACATAAGATATCTTGCTTTATTGCAGTGCTGCCAACAAACCATGGCGCTTGCCAAGAGATTGTTTGTAGAAATCTCGTGGAAACATGTAAGCAACTGGAGGAAGTCCTTGCACACGTTAAATCACAAAAACAAGACCTAGAGGAGGAAAAGAAAAGGTGAACGAGAGATACATCTGTTAAATAGTGTACCATAACCTACTCTCTCTTTCTTATTTCCTGACAACCCATACTCCTTCAACCAATTACCCTTCTACTTTTTGTTTATGTACTCAAGATTGTGCATTTGGCATTTTCGAAATGTGGCTTCGCATAATTACAATGTATTATGTAAACACAGCTAAGCTGATCACCCAATTTACAATATATATTTTTTAAATCAGGGTTGAGCAGTGGCTGCTGGAAGATAAGGAAGTCGGACGAGAACTAGAAAAACAGATACGATTAGCTTCAGATATGGAGAACACCAGCAAGAAAAAGTAAGCAACCAGATTGATAAAAAAAATCCCTAAACTATAATTTCTACCCCAATTCTACCCCAATCCCTAACCCTAACCCTACACTTTGAAACTTAAAACCGTGAGTCTAAATTTGTTTATAAAATTTGAAATTTCTAGCAAAATTTCAAGTAGGCGACATTGTCAGGTAACAATAAAATAAGTAGACGAGATGATGGCGCGAAACTCTCAACACTCGAGATCTTAAGACTAAGCTCCACACACTCGACTGGCAAAAATCAATGTGAATAAACAGCTAGTCGCATAAATTTAGGTAGGAGTTTTAGTATTAAATTCTTGTAAACTGCGTGTTTACAATATGTACAGTTAACTATGTAGTGGCCTCGAGCCGGCCTTGACCCGAGTCATTGCACTCCGAGGCCAAGGCCGAGGCCGAGACCAAAGAAACCGGCCTCGAGACCTACAACACTGGCACTGACACAGGGACTCTCCTCATCATCCAGGGTTTGCCCCAGATATTTAAGAAGGGACGTCGTTTGTGGGATGCATGAATGGCGGAGGGCGTTGTGCCAATTGGAGTCGATTACACATGTCATAAACAGCCACAATACACAACTAAATTCGATCAGTTCAGAAATCTATACATCAAGCTGTGAAAACACAGCACGACTATGTTGAGACTTTCAAAGAATCTTCTGGAAATTAAGGCATGCTGATTATGCAAATAAGGCATGTATGAGGATTTATGGGATGTCACATATCAGCTTTGATGGCATGTTGGTTTGTTGGCCTTGGGAGAACCCTGCTTTCCATTAGAAAACCACTACTGCTGACTCCATTCTTTAGTAATATATTATTGTAACAGTATAATATAATGTTACATGTAAAATTTTAATATGTGAAATTCAATTATTAAAAAGTTATGTATGAAATGGTTTAAATATTCACATGTAACATTACATGTGGCTTACCATGCATTGTTTTGTTCAGAATAAAGGCTGAATTGGGAGGCAAGTATAAAAAAGCGCACGAGTATCACATCTTCCTGATGCAGAAAATGGTGAGAATACTCCGTATAACTAACTAATAGTAAATAACTATGGCCATTGGCCCATGGTTAGGGTGAGGAAATAATAGCAACGTCTATTATATTACATATATATATCTGTATATATATCTGTATATTACCATCTTTAACATTAACTGGTTTTGAAACGTTTTGAATTCATCTGGAGATAGTAAGCATTCATTGGATCTTCATAAACTAATTAAGTACTTGTTTTTGCAGGTAACTACACGTACAAAACTGCCACATCACTACTACTTTAACTCTTATTAATGACTATGGAGCAAGGCGTGTTATTTTGCAGGGCATTTCTATTCATAATATCAATAATTTTTGTCTTCCTTAGATAGAGTTTGTGTCAGAGCACTTTGCACCACCAGGGGCTGAGAAGGGCAAGCAAAAGAGGCACGGTATTGGAGCCCTGGACACAACTGGTTATGCCCATCTCTTGCCACTGTACAGTTTTCTTGAAGTGAGACCCCTCTTAATATATTGGTCATCTTTCACATATTACCTAGATCAGATGTAATAATGGTTAATGGGATTATGAGTAAATAAAGAAGCATCCTGTGGTGTTGTTATTCATGTAGGAACATGTAAATCACTACGTGCTAAATGCAGGATCGATTTTTTTAGGTTTTGATGAACAGATGTTTTGAGGTTCCTCACGATCCGTACATCCAGCTATCCGAGGAGCACTGGAGTGAATATGTAGAGCTCCTACTGCGCTGTGGCATTGTAGTGCGTCATCCTAATGACAGCAACCTTATCAAGCTTGTCGCATTTCATCTATAGATGCTTCTAGGGATATTACAATTTCATGGTGCACAGGCATACAGTCATATGTATACTGTATATAGCAAATGTATAATTCACTGTACAGTGTCCTCTCATATCATATAGATGTTGCATTTCTGCAGAGTGATATTGGAAGTTATCACTGTCTTGTATATTTCTATTGGGCAATAATAACCGAGCATTATAATAGTGTAGGAATGCATGTATTGCATTGTATCACGATTGTCACTTTATCATTAAATTTTATATTAATATATGTGGACCTATAAATATATTACACTTGTAGGTGTTAGGTAAGAATGTAATTTTTGAACTTATTTCTGCTTATGAAGGGGGATTTTTAGCTCGCCTTGACATCGTCAAGATGAGCTATTGCCATGGGGTGTCGTCCGTCCGTCGGTCAAACATTTGGCTATGGTCAATGATAACTCAAGAACCGTTTGACCCACATGTTTCAAATTGCATATAGTTGTTACTCCTATGGGAGAGGTTTGAGTGTCCTATTTTGGAGCACGCCAGTTGACCTATATTCGAGCCACGTCCACTTTTTGGCAAAAATGGAAATGGCCACAAGTCAGTTCGGGTTCAATGGGTTTTGCTCATTTCTGGTATGTGAATGAATGAGGACTGGCCCCAAAACATATCACACAGGTTTTGATTTTTTTTTTAATTATGCAAATTAGGTAGATTTTGGCAATTTCACTATGCATTTCAATGTCTGCCTACGGTCAACGATAACTTAAGAACCGTTTGATCCACATGTTTCAAATTGAATACAGTTGTTACTCCTATGGGAGAGATTTGAACTTCCTATTTTGGAGCATGCCAGTCGACCTACTTTCCAGTCACGCCCGCTTTTTGGCAAAAATGGAAATGGCCATCTAAATTCATTCGATTTTGTTAAAGGCATACTAGGCCCATTGATTATGCAATGTTGACGAATGCTAGAGTAACTGGCACCTTGTGTAGTTAATAAGTACATAACCTTACATCCAAATGCGTATTAGTTTGTCCAATATCACTGCTGGTTACTAAGAAATGTCTGATTGGAATCCGCAGTCCAAGAAATCAGTTGTTTACAGTTTCAACCCGCTGCCGGCGAAGCGGGTGTGATACAGATTTATAGTGCACCGGACATTTTCGCACGCATGCTCGGCCGTACGCAATGCTATCATCAGTGATTTCGTAAACACGAACGCTTGTGATAAGGAACTTTGTCAGGGCTGTCCATGTGCGTCCGTGATTAGTACGAGTGTTTTACTACATTTCCATGTTTAGTCCATGGCCGTGGTTACACCGCTGACACCTCCATTTCATCTGGCGTCCAAAACATACGGGCCGCACAAATGTTTCCGTCATCGCTTGACTCCTGGATGACATTTACGCCACGTAAATGAATATCAACAACTGATTTCAGTTGTGCTTGTAATGTAACCAGCAGTGATATTGGACAAACTAATACGCGTTTGGCTACAAGGTTATGTACTTATTAACTACACAAGGTGCCAGTTACTCTAGCATTCGTCAACATTGCATAATCAATGGGCCTAGTATGCCTTTAAATTTTGGTATGTGAATGTGTAAGGCTAGCCCCAAAACAGTTGTTACTGCTATGGGCGAGATGACAACGTCCTATTACGTTTATTTCGTCTAACTGGTCAACAACTCTACAATCATACCTATATACGTGTAATATTTTGTTTTAGATTCTTCGTTACAGTAATTTGAATGGAATATTTTATTGTTTTTATTTGTGCGATATTTGACAACCAAAATGGCGATCATTTAGGCATGGCGCCATCTCTTGTCAAGATTTCAGAATTTCAGATCTGAAACATTTATTTTCCCATCAAAACTTATGCATATATCATTATCAAGAGTATATAATGGGGGATATGCTATATAATGGGAGTTCTCCCATATACACTCTTGCTTTATATATCCCCGATCCCTCTTCTATCACACCCAAGGTGAGCTACAGTGTCATTGACACTTTCATTCGTTTTCCTCAAGGTTATAGTGCTAATATATATAGTCCACAGAGTCAATTCTAAACCTTTACACAATATTGTGAAATTTTAGGAGCATTTTATAGTTCTTTGTCACTTGTACATACAAATGCAGTTCAACTGCCAATATTACAATAAACTATATAAAGTCAAGCGTTAATGCAAAATGAACGAACTAGTTTTTCTTTTACACTGGCTACAGTTTAATAAATGGTACTGATAAGATACCTCCGATACCTGAGTACGTACTCCTGGTTATAAAATGTTAGTCACAGGTCACCTGCAGTGGTGTGAAGCCATATCGGGTCTACCATGAGCTCATCTTGTGCTGGTCACGACAGGTTGTACTTTAAAGAAACGGCTGCAACGTCCTCTTTGCTGTGTAGTCCCGACTGCTTGACTCGCTCAAACAGAGCATTTAAGGCTGCATATGGTAATTAAAACACATGTTAGAGTGCATCACCAGTGTATAATACAGTAAAACTTGCATAAGTCGACACTTTTGGGACCAGCATATTTGTGTCGACTTATACAATGTATGTAAAGCGCGTATACACTGTATTAGCTGCCTTGCGTAGCAGGACATTTGCGGTGCACGTCTGCCAAATTTTCTTGGAACACTTGCTGGAAAAAATACGGTAATTCCGCGAGGCCGTGCTCTGGAAAGGACTAGTTAGTACTGTATAGCAGAATTAATTTTCAGGGAGTCACACGGACTCCTGCATATGTCAAATCAGGGAGTACGACAGTAAATCAGGGAGTATTTGACTCGATCCGGACTCGCGTTAATTTTGCACCCTGCATTGGGCTGCATACACACTTATGTAATACACTGTATACAGTGGGGAATCTGGGGGTGTGTGAGCTGCGAGCTGGAAAAAATAAAACAATGCGTCCAAGCGAACAATGCGATTCAAACAATCCATCTGCGACAGCCAGCTCATGCATTCCCTAGGGCCTAGACCATACACTGCACCATCGGCATTTCCGATGTCGACTTACAGATTGGAAATTACTGTTGTTTGTATTACATGGGACCTGTCTGAGGGCGTCGACTTGTACATAATGACAACTTATAAATGTCGACTTAGGCGGGGCTATTCCAATGGATTTACTATGAGAGCGAATCGGGACTTCGACTTCCACGTCGACTTAAGCCTGGCGCACATTTTCCCGAACAAATGTTTTTGTCTGGCAATGTGCGGGTGAACAATTGCTGAGCGCACATTGCCGAACATTTTGCAGCGAACAACCTTGTGGCGCCGTCTAGTAGCTGTGTTGTAAAGAGTCACGTGATCGGCACACAAAAATCATGTGACCACATATCGTGCTGCTATTGGTTACTACTTACAAATGTTCCTAAAATTGTTCGACATTCACCGCACATTGCCGAACATTCGACAAACAATGTTCGAGATATCAAACATTTCCGATCTTCAGAAACATTGTTCGGAACAAATGTTCGGCGACTTTTTTCACCGCACATTGCCGAACATTTCATGGAACATTGCTACGATGTTTTTGAGCAAAATGTTCGGCAATGTGCGCTGGGCTTTAGACGATGGCGACTTACGCGAGTTTTACTGTAGCAGGAATGCAAGGAGTAGCGTAACGATTTTCTAATTTCATGTGCATGGCAGGAAGTGATTAACAAGAACAATTGAATTACCCTTGGTTTCTGTTGATCCCATAAACATGGCAATAGTAGAAAATCTTGCCACGTGCACCAGGCCAGCCAGTACTGAAAACACGTCCTCTTTCTCGCTGGAAATTCATACAAGACTCATGTATGTACACGCAGTGTATGCAATCCTAATCCTCTCTTAGGAATTGTGATATGTTCACGTTAATTAGCAGAGATAAAAGGTTCAAGAGTGACTATGAAAAATTTGATGCACAGTATTAAAACCAGTGTAATAAAGTTAATCTTTCACAGGTTCATCACTGCAAACTTTTGATGCAGTAACAGCTTGCCTTTGTTTCGCTCCCGTTTTAGTCACTTAAGCATTTGTTTAGTTGTGAATGGTACAAACATCCACGTAAAGCACCTACCACACGTAGAAATCACGAAGAACTGCAATTATCTGAGACAGAACATCAGCTTCAAGAAACTGAGAGAATAGTCGTGGGTAGTCTGCCGGCTGGATCCTCTGAAACGAGCATCAAACATCATCACATCAGATATAAATATAAAATCTCACATGTACATCAAATAGGTGCCTGACTAATTGACTGCTTCATATTAAAGACTTGCACTAATTTCACTATTACTTATAGAAGTATATAAAACATAAATAAACAAAATATAGAATTCAATCGGTGGCTTAATGCTTTCCACAATTGGCAATAATAGAAAAGCAATAATGCAATGCACATGTAACAATAGATGAACAGAGAGAAAGTATTCGAATTTATCATAGCTTAATCATGACTCATATTATCAAAAGCACTTAAAGGGACAGTAGCCTCTAGGATTTTACTGCATGCAACCAGGAGTAGATAATAGGGAGGTGTGTGACATCAATAAACAAGGGAAATTCGTCATTTACTAGCCTTATAATACCTACGATTTACGTACGAGCGTAACTCATCCAACTTGAGCTCAAATCGGACACAGTACATTCGCCTATCATCGTGCGAATCGTTTCCTCGTAGACACCCGCAATCCGGAGATACAGCCTAAAACGTACGACACGATTCTCCATTCTTTGGCCATCAATCCAACGCCATTGCGCGCCTATTAATTCAGACAAAAGGCAGGAACACCTGCCGCGCAGTCGCTTGTGTTTGCTCTCTCGGAATGCGGAATGTAGCGTTGTGGCTCGTGGGGAGATTGGACATCGACGCAACACTCGACGAGCTAATCATGCGGTTGGTGTGCGTGCTGAAGGCATGCCAGCTATGTACAGAGGTGGCCTGTGTAGCTGTGTAACGGCGTCAAAGGTTATCTCGCGCGAGTGTTGATGCCTAATCTCCCAGCGAGCCACAATGCCTCGCTGATTAGCAATAGCGGCATTAGATAGCTGCCTTTTGTCTTGAATTATAGGCGCGCAATGGCGTTGCGATTGATGGCCAAAGAAATGGAGAATCGTCCGTACGTTTTAGGCTGTATCTCCGGATTGCGGGGTCTACGAGGAACGATTTCGCACGATGATAGCGAATGTACTGTGTCCGATTTGAGCTCAAGTTGGATGAGTTACGCGTAGTAAATCGTAGGTATTATAAGGCTAGTTAAATGACGATATTCGCCCTTGTTTATTGATGTCACACTCCTCCCTATTATCTACTCCTGATACAAACTGTACTTACTGTATAACAAATCGTCTATACCCACACGTATTTGTTACCAAATACCTAATTTATATTGTTATAATTATTAATTTTACACATCAACGCTACGAAATTTGAACGGCGCCATGACACTCGCGACCGTGCTGCCACCCCGAAAAGTTGCGTATTTGACAATTTATTTTGCAGGTTACAGACCGAGGGCTAATCACAAAAGTGCAATTATATTTATACCTAAATGCTATTTAACCGAACGATATTCATTTTTGGGCAAATTTATTCATATTATAACTGAAACTATATGTCGTTTATAAGATATTACAATCATTTTGCTTTTAAATGAGTAAATAAGAAACACCCTCGGTCTGTAGCCCTTGGCTGGAAAGTGGTTTTGCGCAACTTATCAGATCGTGCGCTTTAAGTGGCGCCACCGTCGTTGTAATCAAACTGTAGTCGTTAGTTTTAAAACATTTTTTAATATTATTTCTAATGGTGATTGAACCATGAAACTTTTTATGTAGCGTAATTATAACCTAAATTAGCTGAAAATAACCCTAGAACCTAGAGTAAACTCTCCCTTTAAACCTTACGTTTATGGGCTTTATGTGCTCTTGATATCATCCTGTTCATAAAGTAAAGGGTGATATACCTTGAAGTATTTGTAGAGTTTCGACGAGTTTCCCTTTAGTCGCCTCCAGTCCAATTGAAGTTGAACCGAGTTTGCTGGTAGCGGTGGCCCATCGTCCTCAGCAACATCGGCAGTGCCTTCGTCTTTGTTGATGCTGCCAGTTACTGTCGTCCGCGCACGATCCTGTCTCGACTCATCTCCGATCACCACGTCCACCTTACTACTCTGCCGATGCACCCCATCGACACTACCACTCGGTGACGACATTCCTGTGACTCTATTATCGCTACCGCTGCTTACGGCCAAACGATCGCCAGCAGTTGCCTGCTTTGTCTGGCTAGTTTCAGGGGGTTTCTCCGTTTCCACGAGGGAAATATGCTCATCTTCGTCATATTCATCAATGCTAATTCTTGTAAGTGGTTTCTGAAATAAAAAAATAAAAACATTTCTACTGTTATAAACTATATCCCTGTATTCATAGTATGTAAGACTAAAAAATGATGTGATGATGTTCAACACAGTACAATAAGTAGCTATCACTTACGTTCTGCTATAAATATATACTAAATCCTACTAACTAATACGTCCACTTACTTGACGGTCATACACTCTAGAACCTGTTACAATACTGTCAAATTGGTAAAATTTAACCACTATGCAGCATTCTGTTTCAAATCGTAAACACTTTAATACCTTTGATCTAAGATGTACTGATTTATCGATAGGCATCACCAATCCAGGTACCACATCAAGCTTAGCTGGAAGTTTCTTAGATAATCTTCCCTCATCAGCCTTCTCCGGCTGTGATTCTTCCAGGTCTGGTGTGGGTTTACTTTTTTCCAAAAACTGAATATATACCCAATATATCAAGGCACTATATGAACTAATTCACTAATGAGAAATCTATTTTATTGCTTCTTAAAAGAAGAACATGATATTCTTATTTCTATTCTATTCTTTCAGAATGTCTTTTATTATTTAATAATGGTTTACTTGCCCGACATGAATTTTTACTGGCCAGTATAAATGAGAAATAATCTTGTTTTTTGAAATCAAGAAACTAATCGGGTATCAGGTAAGCAGATCTCACAGTTTTACAAAATGTCTGTTTTGCCAATCACAATCATTGTTTTTATCAAATTAGATGACTTTGCACGAGATTCTGATCAATCTACACAAAAAATACAACGTCCTGATAAAAACGGTTATTAACTACAAGTACATGAGACAACCAGCATCTTGCATACGTTCTCAATTTTTAAAATGTCAGCTTTCGCCTGTCGGTTATCTGGCTCCAGAGTGAGGACCTGCTCAAAATCCAGCCGTGCCTCAGCGAGACATTTTCTCGCCAGTCTTGCCGTTCCTCTTCTGGCGTACGCCTTCACGTAGGTAGGGTCTAGACCGATGGAAGTACTTGCATCGGCTTCTGCCGCAGCATACCTGTAGGAAAACCATCGTGACCACCTGAAAGTCTCACCACTTGACATGCTAGGACACTGCTGACTAATGACACAAATGGAGACTAGATACCATTTTAGCGCAAGAATCAATACACGGAGGTAACTTTCGTTGATCGGCTCATAAATTAACACACTTTACACAAAATGATGGTAAGCAAAGCATGTTTTCCCACAGGCATCCTGAAAGTATATTGATTGCCTGTGGTAGGAAACATTGGTATTAGCTATGTGCATACAAGAGAGCACAGGTACCTTCCAAGTTTAAGCAGAGCCATGGCACGGTTAGCAGGCAAGATGGCACTGAATTGATCATAACCAATTCCTTTTGTGTAATGCTCTATGGCCTCTTCATACTTTGCTTTTTTGAATAGATCATTTCCCTGTAATAGAATAAACACATGATATTAGCATACTAATGGAAATAGCTGCAAATCCACTCATGTAAACCATAAAAAACAACAGTGGGCTAAAAACAACACATGTTAATGTTCTATAATTATTGCCTTGTTCAAAATCTACCAGTTACTTGGATCAGTTAGCCACGAACACTGCAGTTCTGCTCATACCCCCCCCCCATACATGTGATTGACAGCTAGAACTGCAAACAGTCCTATTTATTCCCTACAGTCTCTTCATAGATCACTGCATATTAATTAAAATCAAAAGTTTACTAAACAAGCGCCGCAGAGCGACAGCGCTCAATTGACGTGTACTGTAGCCGGGTATTCTTCTGATAAACTCACTGGCAACCGAATCAAGTGCGCCCTCCCGCCACCGCGTTCGCGCTCAGAGCATATATCTAGGATACTACTAATACAGATCTAAAATCTATGATAGGCTTTGCTATACCGGTAGTACAGTAATAAAGATACAGCTGTGTAACTTTAATGACTTCACTATATTAACATGTTATCATGGATATGCGTCGAGCGCAAGCGTAGTGGTGGTGGTGGGAGGAAGGTGGTGGGGGAGGGGGCTCTAATAGCAAAAGCAGTTCAGTCCTTTGTTAACAGTCAACAAATCCGTGTTTACCCCTCCTCTTGAGGGTCAAAAGGTTATCAGACACTTACTCTTCGCACGTCAGCGGAAAGCACATTTCATGGTCCTTTCAATAAAGTGATAAAAATGGTACTGAATCATGAATGGCGCTGAAACAAAAATGTTTTTCACTCGGTCCGTTAGACCATGTCCTCAGAAAATGTCTGATATCTGACCTTTCCCCCACTGCCCTTTGACCTGTGACCTCCAATTTCGCGCTGGTGATGGGTTCCCTCCCCATCACACTATACATCGAATATTAAGAGCGTAGGTCAAGCCGTTGAGATTTGTGCCGCAATTCCGTAATTCCTCCTACACCTTAAGTTAAGGAGGGAAATATTTCCCCTCCATTGACACACCTTGACCTTTGACCATTGACCGCCAAATTCAACATTCTGATTCCTTTTCGCGATCCCCCCCGACGTCCCGAATATCAAGACCGTACGCCGAGCGGTTAAGATTTGTGCCCAACAGTTGACGGACGCACGGACAATCATGCGATTCTACAAGCTGCATCGGACTTCGTCAGCCGAGCTAAAAATCCAAGTTAAATGTAAAAATATGAATTTAACTAGCTGCCTGCCAAAAATACTATATCTGTTTAAAAACATTTCATATTTCAGCACTTTGGATTGGTACATTTTCTTGTTAATTTGTTTAGGCTTACCTTGATGTATTACATATAATTAAGCTCCAATCCTTATATGATTAATGAATTTATGTAAACCATTATAATTAATAAACAAAAATCACAATATGAGGGCATGATGGGCCACAGTATGCCTGTTACAGTATGCGAGATATTTTTGCTTGGCATAATATATCCTATACCAGGTCTTTTTCAGCAACTGCTTGCTGCACCCTCCATTCCATCTCTTGCCGCTCATTGTCCGCACTATCGTCATCTTCCTCTGAACTCTGCTGATCTGCACCCTGATCAATGTCTTGACATGCTTTCTCCTGAGAATTATTATGAGAATTATCATTATTTATTTACAAATATTTATGCATATATTTACAAGAGCTTGTCTTTTAAATCCTTCAGAGTTTAACCACAGACTAACGTATACACAGACTGGACACTTCGTATACCCTGCTTGTTAAGCGTTTTGATGGTGCTGCCCCTGGCGAATGAAGCGGCCAACTACTCAAAATAGCATCAGCTGGCAATCACTGCGGTTATTGCAGTGCGGGAAATTGTTCCAATTCAAGGAAGAAAAACCCAGATATAGCGTTTTTCAAGTTTCCCACAGAGCATGATAGGTACTAGATTTATCACGTGTTGCATGTTATATACGTTTGCAAATCATAAATTCGTTAGGACGGCCGTGACAGATGTAGTGACTCACTGACTGCTGTGCACACGAACAGAGATACCTACTGTACTTATTGATTGTTTAATCATATGTAATCATAATATCAGGAGTAAGATAATATAGGTAAGATCCTATATTATCTTACTCCTGATAATATCATATAATATATAATATATATATAATATCATATCTGATAAGATAATATAGGTAAGATCCTATATTATCTTACTCCTGATAATATCAATGTAAACTAATTAATACAAGATACAATCTTGTGAAGCTAACAGTTAAAGGTTAGGGAAAACACTGCTGCCCTTTGTTCTGTGAAAAATACCAGTTAAAACGATATGCAATTTGTAAATAATGCACCACATCATTACATGTACATAGACTTCGGAAGTGGATGTGCAACATAAGAAGAGCCGACCTTGACGAGTTAAAAGACAGCCAATGCAAATATCTGCTAATTTGCGAGGATCATTTTGAGGCATCTAAATTTATGTGTCCAGCTGACAAGGATAAAAATCACTGGCTGCTTTGAAATGTGATGCTGCACCTATTTAAAAATATAACTATTATTAATAAAAAAAACATTGCTTTCTCTGCTTCTCGTCGTGTGACTCATGGGTCGTTATACATGTACCAGGTTTGATTTCATGAAATATACATAAACAGAAAAATAAGTTTGAGAAATATTCACTGCTGGGCACTGAAGTATATTATTATAGCTTTGGCAATATCAAAACTAAACCAACACATGTATGCTGAATAATTTTGATAATAAAAAATTCAAACTGTCTGTATTTTACCTTATTTTCCATAATTCCTTCACCCGATCCCTTCCACCTTTATTAAAAACACAAGGGCAAGTCAAAAAATTTAAGAGGCTAAGAAAAGATGCAGTTCCATCTCTGATAGAAGTCAGTAACCCTCCTGCGCTCCCAACCTAGAAACAAGCAAAATCGTAAATTGTCGAAGCTCCAGCACTTGTGATTAAGCTTCTTAGCAATAAATGTGATTAATGGTATTTGAGTGAAAAATATGGAAATTATATCGTCTTTTTATTTTTATTGTTTGTAGAAAAAACAAACATCTGACAAAATCCGGTCACAGACTGAGGAATAAATTAAACTACAGACTGTAGCACAGTATACCGTGTGCACATTACGCATTGTGATGTATTGTGTGTATTGTGCATTAGTCTGTGATGGGGTGTGGATGATCGTTTTGCATGTAAAAGTAAATGTATGGCCGTTTAATAGAGCAAAATCGACTTGAATACTAACATTTGACCTTCTAGATTCAGGAATGTATAATTAAACTCCAGTCCAAATATTAGAATTAACGATAGAGACATTTTAATGTTACAACGTTATACATCCACGGTCTGTCACCATAGCCAGATTTTTAGTGTACTGCTTCATTCGCTGGGCGACGCCACCATTCAATTGCTTACATTATTTTGGCGTTCTGTCCAGTCTGTGTATCCGTTAGCCTGTGGTTTAACTATGTCAATACATACAGCAGAATTATCAGAACTTAGTTTTGCGATATACAGACAAACCTGCATATTTAAGGGTCACTCGATGGAATGCCAAAAATTTCCTTTATACACTAGTGTTTGCGTTAGTCTTATTGCACTACATGAAACATAAATCTACTGGCAGTTTGGCTTGCTTGAAAGTGATAGGTACACTGCCTTCTAATTTGATGTCATTGCAAGTTGAAACTTTCAATTGGATCTATCATTGGATAAGACAATTTATAACTATCATAGTCCACCAACCTTAATCATGAAACTAAACAAATCCAACTCAAAGAACAGCATTATCTATAAGCAAATAAAATAATAAGTAACTATATATTTCTCAACTATTTCATAGAGCTAACAGTTGTTACCCACCACATCAAACTTGTCCCATGCGCTGTAGTTGTAGGACTTGATAGGTTGTGGCTTTTCCTTCTTATTTTCGGATGATTGGGGTTTTTTACGCTTTTGCCTTTTAGCCTCGTTTCTTACTGGTGGCAACTTCTGCACGACATAAAAATATAACTCTGTTGTATAACCACAAAACACCTGGCACCATCGCCAAATTTGCTATTTCTGTGCTGGGAGTTGGATTTTTGCTTTTAGTGAATTGCAAAGTTGAGGCATTTTTTACTGGGATCTGCGGTGCTGATCTGTCTACTTCATCAACGTTCTATCTCTCCATTTTCGATATAGTGCCTTGGACTTTCAAGACAAATCTTTATAAGGTTATGAGGAAACTTTACTTTTGTAGTATTTTAATGCAATATAACAAAATTATCTAAAAGCTGATATTGCATGATAATTGTTTTCAGTCCACTTTACAGCTGCTTTGATTTTTGGTAGTGGTACAATGTTGGTTAGGTGTTGCAAAAGCCGGACACATAGACCCAAACAACAGTATTATCATTAAACCGTGTGCATCCACTGGCAGGCCCGTAGCCAGGGGGGGTTCGGGGGGTTCGAACGAACCCCCCCCCCACCCCCAAGCCAAAAAAAAATTGTTTGTTGCAAATTTGGAAGAATTTCACCTCAGGTCGCTCTATTTTAGTGTAATAATTGCAAAATCTCCATCGTGCGGGAGGTAACAAGTGAAACACCCCCTCCCAGCAACCCTCCCCGGCTGCGTCCGCTTGGCTCCCCCTCCCGTCGCCTGTCGCTTCTCGCAGCCGGAAGCAAGGGCGTGTACAGGGGGCCAAGTAGTCCGCGGACGCCCCCCTTGCCACTCGCAGAAAACGCATCTGAGGATCAATTTAAAAAATTTCTGACGCGCCGCCAGACCCCTCCCTTGCGCGTGCCGCAGCTTTGGCTTACGGTTAATACCCACCTCTGGACAAATCCTGTACACGGCCCCTTGCCGGCAGCAAATTGCCAAGCATTTGAAAAAACGAACCCCACCCCCAATATAAAGCTGGCTACGGGCCTGCACTGGGGCAGTGAACACTGTTCAGAACAGTAAAATTCTTGTGCAAAAAATTTACAATAATACGCCGGCCGAAAGGATCACCGTAGTTGGTGCATGGGGGGTTTCAGAGGTGATGCAGTAGATCGTGTATGTTGGGCATATGATAGCGTAAAAACATAATCTGGTACGCTTTATTGCATAATAAATATTGCCATCGCAGGGTTCTCCCAGGAATGATAATGCACAAGCAGCGGGGGGGGGAGGGGGGAAAACTAGGGGGGTCCGGGGGCTGTATTTTTACCGTACGACGGAATTAATGCGAAAATTGGCCACCACAGCAATAACGGTATGTGGGGTTCTTGTATTATAAGAATAGCCGAGTCGTGTACTCAGTTACTGACAGTTAACCCTTGTGTACGTCTGCAGTGCATCGTGTAGCGTAAAAAAATACACGGCGTCGGATGTCCTGGTCGAGTACGGCAATTCTTAGAGCGGTCGATCCCGCGCTGGAGCAAACTTTTATTGTGTGAATTAAACGGGAACAGGATGATATTTCAAGACGGGGCGCCAACGATTTCAAACAGGGGGAGTTTCCCAAACGGGGCGCGGCGAGGCGCCCGTTTGCGCAAAGCGTAGGGAGAACCCTGCATCTATCACCTCACTGGCTACCCTACAATTCGCAGTGCTGGGGGTTGCAGTGGAGGAGATTAGCTTAGCGCATATGCTAAAACATTGCGGGGGGTCTCAAACCATCTTGATCCCCGAAGAGCACTGGTTCAATGGTTGTTCGATTACTGATTAGGCCTACGTGGTGCAGGTTGTACTTGTAGTTGTAAGTTGTAAGTTGTACTAGTACTAGTAGTACTACTACTAGGCCAAGTTGTAACCCTCATCACCACCATATCACCAGCAACTAATCCTACCCGTACCTTAACCTACCTTAATCCTAATCACATGTAAATCGCGGACGGCGCAGGAGCTACAATACAATACGTCAATAGTACTGCCAATGGGAAAAGAAGACTAAGTCCTAATCTATCTATAGCACCACAGCACTTGAAGCATCTTCAACCTGTAAACTACACGCCGGCGCCCATTGCGGCAACTACTGACCCTAAATAAGAGTCTCAAGTCTCAGTCTCTATATTTATGTGTCAGTGTGCGCGCAATGGCGCCGGCGTGTGTTTACAGTTGAAATGCTTCAAGTGCCTGTGAGGCCTACGGTATACCGGCTGTACATTAGCGAGGGGTTGCGAAGTACGTAGTTTATCATCTTTCTTTTTGACGTCCGTTTCCCACTTTTCCAATTCTCGCAGGTAGTCATTTAGTTCAAGAGAATTCTCTTTCACTTGCTGTTGGCATTCTAACATATTGAATTTCGACATCCTGCAAGATTTCGCAAGAAGAGATGTAATTTCTAAAATCAAAGCAGATGAAAGTTAAAACACGTTCGTGTTGTGTTGATTCGCCCACACCGCCACCTAGTGACAGTATTTCTTAACTTTTACTTGAACGGGCAAAAATTAAAAATCGGATGTCAACAAAAATATGAAGTCAATACCCTTTCATTATTATCTAAGTACAGTGGCTTAGACAGGTTCTCAGTTAATTGTGGGGGATGATTTCGCTGTCACTTCCATCAAAAAATATACGAAGAATAATATGTGCGCCTAGCGCACACCGCGAGCGCCACAGCCACAGGCACTTGGAACGTCTCGATAAAAAAAAAAAGGTAAATAAACACGAAATGTATTTACTACCATGTGTTTCTCTACTCTCTTTTGCCTATTATTGCCGATAACTTCCTCTAAATGCCGTTCAATGGCAAAATGTCAATAAATATTGTTCACGAACTCAACAATAATTTTTAACTCCAATTTAAAACAATATAATATAGTTTCTTGGAGGCAAGACAGGCAGCTGCCTCAATAATCTGGAGAAAAATATAATAAAAATGCAAGCGTTGTGAATATCGATCATCAGGTAGTCGTCCGTGCCGCACTCGTCGCGCCACACTATACGCACGTCGACTGAATGGGGGGGGGGGGCTCTGGCTCGTTATTATTCATTGAACTGGGTCACGAAATTTCGTTTCTATGGCATGTCTATAGTATTTGCTACATATATACTATATGATTTTGTTGAATGTATACAAATTTGCAGAATCGTAGAAATATAAGAAATACATCTCTTAGTAGAGAGCAACGAATCTCTATAGAGAATATAGTTTGGTGTAAAAAAGTGGATCCGATTGTTTTTCCTCAAATAAGTGTAAAGAGCTCAATCTTGTACACATTTGTTTCCCATTGGCCCGTGATAGTATATTGCAGATGCGAAGTATAATCAAGAGTGGATAATAGAGTCTCTATTATCCACTCTTGGTATAATGTATGATCTCGAACAACAAGAATAAATTTATTATAATATACAGTTACAATAGATAGTACCTACTGAGGCTGAAGGGGTCGTTGTCGTATCAGGTTCTACAGATATGTACCCGAAGTACGTATATGTATACACAAGTGTACCAGACCTGTATCTTCTCAGCATATAGGTACCCTGTGTTTACATAAACGTACCTGCCCCTGAGATGAAGATCGAATGAAGACGGGCATGGAGGAAGAGTAGGGGGCAGGAGGAGGAGGCGGAGGAGGAGAGGAGAAGGTGATTGAGTAGGGGGAGGAGGAGGAGGGGAGAAGGAGGAGGAGGGGAGGAGGGAGAGGAGGAGGAGCGGAAAAAGTAATGAAGATCGAATGAAGACGGTCATGGAGGAGGAGTAGGGGCAGGAGGAGGAGGAGAAGGAGGAGGGGAGAAGGTGATAAAGTAGGGGGAGGAAGAGGACGAGGGGAGGAGGAGGAGGAGGAGGAGCGGAGAAGGTGATGGAGATGGAATAAAGACGGTCCTGGAGGAGGAGGAGGGGAGAAGGTGTTTGAGTAGGTGGAGGAGGAGGAGGAGGAGGGGAGAAGGTGTTGGAGTAGGAGGAGGAGGAGGAGGAGGAGGAGGAGGAGGAGGAGGAGGAGGAGGGGAGACAGTGATAGATGAGCAAGAGGTGAAAAGGTGATCCTACCTATGCCCCCCTACTCTCCCTCCATCCACTTCTCCCTCGCTCTCCTCCCCCTCCTCTCCTCCTCCCCTACTGCCTCAATTCTCCCCTCTGCCTCCTCCGTCCCTACTCTATCACCTCCCCCTCCTCCTCCTCCCCTACTCTAATCACGCTCTTCCTCTCCTCCTCCTCCTCTCCTCCTCCCCTCTTCCTCCTCTTCTTCCTCTCCCTACTCCTTCCTCCATCGAGCGTCTTCGATTTGATCTCTCCATCCACCTTCCCGCTCTCCTCCTCCCGCTCTCCTCCCTATCCATCAACCTTTTCCCCTCCTCCTGCCTCTTCCCCCTACTCCTGTCCCTTGTCCGCTCCTCCTCCCCTCCCTCCCCTACCCTCACTTCTCCCTCCTCGCTCCTCATCCTGCCCCCTTACTCCTCCCCAATCGACCGTCTCATTCGATATCACGTCCCCTTCCTCCCGCCTCCTCCTCCCCGTCATCCCCTTCGCTAGCCCCCCTACTCTTCACCTTCTCCTTCCTCCCCCTCCTCCTCTCCTCCTTCTCCTTCCTGCCTACTCCTCCGTCCATTGACCTCATTCGGATCTCATCACGCTTCCCGCTCCCCTCCTGCTACCTACTCCATTTACCTTCTAACCTTCTCCTTCTCCCCTCCTACCCTCTCCTCTTCCTCCTCCCCTCCCTCCTCCTCCTCCTCTCCTCCGGCCCCTACTCCATCACCGTTCTCCCTCCCCCCCTATCCATCACTTCTTCCCCTCCTCCTCCTCTCTCCTCCTCCTCTCTCCTCCTCTCCGCTCTCATCTTCCTCTTCCTCTCCTCTCCTCCGTCCTCACTCCTCCTCTGCTCCTCTCTCCACACCTCCTGCCCCTACTCTTCTCTCACCTCTCATGACGTCTTCATTGCCGATCCTCTCATCTCAGGGCAGGGTACGTTATGTAAACACAGGGTACATTATAATGCTGAGAGAGATACAGTCTGGTAACTTTGTGTATACATATACGTCTCGGGCTACATTCTAGGTAGATACCTGATAACGACAACGACCCCTTCAGCTGCCTACTCAGCTCATTTCATATGAAAAAATACCGATTGCAAGTGCCCCACTTGCCACAGGCACTTGGCCTGTTTCATAATAAAATAATGGTAATACAATACAACTTGTCCAGTACTAGACGTACGAGTACCAGTAATAGTCTTAATGGTTTGATTTAATGTAATTAACTTCACGTTCAATACCGAT